CCCCCACCCAAAAACCAGTTCCGCCAGTCCCTCGTCTGGGCTGGGAAACTGGGGTCGAATCCTGACCCGGGGAAACATCACTGGGAGTTTGTATCTGCCCGTGCAGAGCCGTGCCGCAGCCGGGATGCTGGGAGGGCACTCTGTATACTTATATATATATCTCTCTCTGTATATCTCGCTCTTGTCTATAGCTGTATGACATTAAGGTGACCCCAAGTCACCCCATCCCCCCCCCCCGCTACTCTGCCTGGGATGGAGCCGGGTCCGCAGCACCCACCGGGACCTCACGCAGCGCTTCCGTCAATATTTCCAGCTCCAGCCCTCGTCATTCGACGGCATTTCTGTATAGGAACCACGCTTTCTAAAAAAAAATAAAATAAAATAAAATAAAATAAAATAAAATAAAAATAAATCAGAGCTAGCAAGCCGTTTCCAGCTCTCCCTTCGACTCTCGGGCACTGAAAACGGGCAGGGTCCTGCTCGGGGTGGTGTTTTAGGGAGCGACGGGAGAGGAACGACCTTGAAATTCAAGTTTTAAAAACTCTGCCGTACTGGGGGGAAAAAAAACAACAACCCAACGCCTTTAGCTGAGGTTATTTTGCGAGCTCCGGTAACCAAAAGCCTTCGCGGCGCATCGAGGCGTCCCTCTGCTGCCCGTCATCGAGATAGTTTTATTTTAATAGCCCAGCAGCTCAAACTCCGGCCCAAATTACATTTGTAATTTAAATGCAAATGAGGATTTCATGCGAATGCAACGGGAAGGGGTGTTGGAGCCACTAACTCCGCTCCCGCTTCATGAGACTTTGGATTTTAGAGTATTTATCGCTTCTGCCGGGTCAATTTGTGAAGTGTTTCGTGAGTTCCCAAAGAATGGGATAACTGGGAAGAGCACGGGGTGGATGCGAAAATCAGATTTCCAGCCCGGAGGTGATTTTTAGCGGGGGCATCGCTGCTCCAGCGTTGCTCTAAGCCCCCTCTCCATCACCCCGTGCCCTCGGAAAACGAAGCCGGGCACCGACTCCAGCGATTTCACAGCCCAGTTAAACCAGCAGCCAGCCCAGCTGAATAATGCAGCGACGTCTGCCAGCGCACGGGAGCTGCCGCGCACCCACCAGCTATTTCCAGGGACCGTCTTCGCCGTATAATAACACATTTGCTGCTGCAGAAAACCTTCTTTTTTTTTTTTTATATATTTTTTTTTTAATTAATCCACCAAATAATGAGCCCTAATGTAACAGGCTTTATTCTCACACGTGTGATTAATTACGAAGCCGCCCGTTTCTTTGTCTGCGCCGCAGGTTTAGGCTGACTTTGTAATTGCATTATTATGCATATGGAAATGAGTAAATCTGCCTTTGCTGGCGAGGACGCGGGCGCTATCTCCCACCGCCCTCAGCTCCGCAGCAGCCCGGGCTGGATTCAGGCTCTCAACCCT